TGTCCGCCCCATCTTCGTCTGCCTCCTCTCTAAACTCCATAAAGATGTCGAGCGACTCGGGTAAACGACACTCGTTTGATTACGTCAGGTAATTCATGCGTAATATGTCATGAAACCTAAATGTGAAACGTTAACGTATATAATAACTAGAGCACTCGGAGAGCACAGACCTCCGCCAAGGCAGCTGAATTCTCTCAAATGGGAAATTTTTTATTAATTAATTATTATAGTGGAAAAATTAATTAATTAAATAATTATTGATCCTGATTAGTGCGAGCGTGCAGGTGGGGGGAGGACTGGTGCCCGCATTAGCTGTGGTTGCGTGTTTGTAAGTCTACCGCCAGCGCACCTAGCGAAGTGAAGCTGAAACGTGCAATGCATGGTAACGACACAAACCAAACTGCCGGTGAAAACATAACTCCCTCATGCCCTGGCGAGGTAATAGGGCTAGCTACTGGCCGTGACGCACGTCGAATACACGCCATTTTATCCTCGACGCAGAATTTCCTAACGAGGTAACGCGGCAAGCGACGAAATCTGAGGCGCGGCGGCGGATTTCTATCGTGCTGGTGGTGCCACCTGGCGGGGTGTTTATAACGGCGTTCTGTCTCCGTCGTCGTCGCCATAGAGCCGCGTGCGCGAGCGCCTTCCGCCGACACGAGATCGACACAACTTGTTACAGCTGCCCGCGCTGGCAAGCCTGATGTTACTCGCGCGAACCAGATCATCCAGGCGACCTGGCAGGAGTTCAAGGTCGAGCTGGGTCATCACGTGCATGACCTCGATGACCTCTACAGGTGTCACTCGCGCTACCTGAACCAGGCAATCTTCAGTATCCGTCATCCCGGCTGTAAGCTTAGATCTACCACCGTACTGCTATTTGCCGGCTGTAAGCTTAGATCTACCACCGTACTGCTATTTGCCGGCTGTAAGCTTAGATCTACCACCGTACTGCTATATGCCGGCTGTAAGCTTAGATCTACCACCGTACTGCTATTTGCCTTCCATGTTTCACACCCACTTCATACTAAACTGCTCCAGATGAACTGTGCACCCATCCCCTCCCCCTCTCTCCCCATCTCCCTTCCATCCCTCTCCTCCCACCCACACCTTCCTCTCTCCTCACTCTCCCTCTCTTCCCACGCCTTCCTCTCTTCCCACCCCTTCCCCTCTTCCCACACAAACCTTCCTCTCTCCCCACTCTCACTCTCTTCCCACCCCTTCCTCTCTTCCCACAGACACCTTCCTCTCTTTCCACCCACACTTCCCTCTATCCCCACCTTTGCTCTTGAGGCAGTGCCACACGTCCTGCAGGGACCAGACTACGCGTTTCAGCTGCAGCATGAAGCAGAACACCTTGTTGTACTTGGCGATGCAGGCCCCTGTCACAACGACGTTCAACGGCCAGTCAACCTGCAGATGCGACACAAGAGGGCGCCGTCAGTCGCAACACAGAGGGCAGCACCGGTCATGCGTGACGTGGGGTGTGGACTCTGCATCGAAGTCGAAACGCAGCGAAACACGGAATCACTCGCTCACAAATGCTTACATATGCGCGAGGACGCACGCGCACTCAGTCACTCGCTCGCTCACTCACTCACTCAAGAACTCAAGAACTCACTCAAGAACTCATTCAAGAACTCTAAAATAGAAGAAAAAGCTCCATATAAGAACACCTACCTTGTAAGCAAGTTCTAGGCAGTCGAAGGTGTCTGGTGCTGGAAGAGAGACAAACACAAGCACAGTGTGAACAAAAGCTATTCATCCTCATCCCGCTCACCTGTCTGGTTGACATGACAACCGCATCTAGCTGGTTTACATGACAGGTAATTAAGCCCACCTGGCTGGTAATTAACCTCACCTGGCTGTTAATTAACCTCACCTGGCTGTTAATTAAGCCCACCTGGCTGGTAATGAACCTCACCTGTCTGGTGTAATTAACACCACCTGGCTGGTAATTAACACCACCTGGCTAGTAATTAACCTCACCTGTCTGATTGAAGGCGCGCGGCATGTACTTGATGAGGAATCCTAGATTGTCGGCGTGTGCGCTGTCGCCGTGCAACGACGATCGCAGCGCGTCGCTTAGCAACGGATGAAGAACCACAGGGTTGAGCAGCTCTCGTGGTCTTGCTCCCCTGCTCACCTACACACACACACACACACACATGGAGAGGAAGCCATTAATACACACACGCACGCACGCACGCACGCACACACACACACACACATGGAGAGGAAGCCATTAATACACACGCACGCACGCACGCACGCACGCACGCACGCACGCACGCACGCACGCACGCACACACACCCACGCACATGGAGAGGAAGCCATTAATATGCAGGCATGAGAACAGGTTGAGATGTTTTTGGAGGAAATATTTCATTGAATTGTCATTTTCTAAGAACCACTGTCACCGAGTTTCGGTACGCATGAGGGGGTAAAAGGGTAAAAGCCTAAATATGAGGATGAGAGATAGAAGGGGAGAGGGAGAGGGCCTTTGTATAAAGAAGACATAATAATAATAATACTAATAATAATCATAATCATAATATAAAACAAAGATATAAGCACGTTTATGTATACGCGAACAAATAAAAGAATATTAAAAAAAAACGAAAAAAAATGCGGAAGAGAGAAGGCAGACTGTGACAACGCGACAGCAGCAGCAGCAGCAGCGAACGCGCGTACGGAGGAAGCCTCCCCTCACCTTCTCGAACAGCAGATCGCTGAGTCGCTGGCCAAACTCCCCGTCCTCCAGGAATAGGAACCGGCGCAGAGTCAGGAAGTGCTCGACAAGGCCAAGGTCGGCCATGAAGTAGTCGACGATGGCAGCGTTCACCAGCTTGATACTGAAACAGAGATGCCAACACATATTTGAAGCAATCTGTAGTTTCAGGCCATCAAATTAGTAGTTCGAGTTTGCTAGGGGGGTCCGGCATGCCTCCCAGAAAAAATTTCTATTGTGAGATGCAATTTCCTGCATTCTGGGTCAAAAATGACAATAAATTGACCCAACATTTTTTTCCCCCGAT